AGCGGTGTCCGATAAATAAAGGTTTGAAAGAAAATTTGAGAACTTACTAACGCTTGTTTCAATGTTATACAGGGCACCCACTAAACATGGGGTCCCTGTGATAATAAGTTTCGCTACTTTTCATTTTCCGTGGTAACATAACGCAAAAGAAATATAACAGAAACACCTACACTTTCAAATTTTCTGGTAAATTCAGCGGTGAGTTCATCTTCTGTCATTCCGCGAGGAACCAGCGAGCTGAGAGAAGAGGACGGGTTTGTGTTAAGATACTTGTCTAATTTTTCCCTGGGGAGATAATCTTGCCTTGCTTTCACCTATATTGGAGAAATAAGAGAAACGAAATCAGGTTTCATCTCATTTTCAACATAGCAGTTCCTTATTTTATCAGTGTATATTAGAAATGTAAAAACGGGATAATACGAATTTTCAATTGTGGCCAAACATGACCGGGACAAGGTTATAATCTGCTGATCAATAATTAAACCTTAAAAGCTTGTGAGTTGCTGTCTAAGTGAAATAACAGTGTTGCAGTGAATCAGTCTACCTTTGTTCGCTAAAGAGGGGCAATGCGTCTTTGATAGTTTTAGTCCAACGACAATTTGTTTGTCCAACCAAAATGTTATCTTAGCCGAAAATGGCCTTCAATAAAGAAAGATAATTTGCGGCACTACAGAGAATTAGAGGAGCTACACTATTGTGTAAATCTCATTATAATCAATTGGAGAGAATTAAGCATTTTCGTACCCTGAACAGCACAATTCCGCTCGGTGGACCAGCACCACACTCTGCTAACTTCGTAACAGCTGTACTTTGGAGTATAGCTTAGATCGTTATTTAGAGTTGTTTCAACTACGCCAATAATAATAATAATAATAATAATAATAATAATAATAATAATAATAATAATAATAATAATAATAATAATAATAATAATAATAATAATAATGACGATGGCGATGACGATGACGACGACGACGACGACGATGATGATGATGATGATGATGATGATGATGATGATGACGATAATAAGCTCTAACCATATCCTACCTTTGGCGCAGGAAGTTCTTCCATTCTCCTAGCGTCTGCCAATCGCACAAAAATAGAACTTCCCTCTAGGTATTTGATCTTCAGAAATTAACACAGAGAGAAAGTTTATGGGTAGAGAGCAAATATGGCGAAATGTTACACCTTTCCTGGAATTTCCAATCTCTAATAATTTCTGAGCAATATAGGACATAAATTTCAGTGTTATGCAATGACAGGACATAAAAGCACGATGAGAATAAAATCCTACCATTTTCCTTCGCCGAAAGCTGGCGAGGACATTGACACAGCTATCGGTTCGAAGAGAATTAACAACAACCTGAAATTGAAATACAACGAAAGAATTGCTACATGAGCTAGAAGAATTTAATCGACGAAGATACTTCACGGATGACCATGACCTAAGAATGATTAAAATAATTTCGAGCTGATGAACAAACCCTACCTCGGGTGGGTCCCCAGCGTAGAGAGGAAGCTGATAAGAGCCACCCATAACGTATCCTTCGTTAAACACTTGAACTGCACTCCAAGCCTATAACGTTATAACAACAATAAAAAGATCTGTTGGTGCACGCACTTGTTACAACCCCGTTATAGACGTTTAAATCGCTTTGTAACTCGAGTCAAGCAAAAACACGAAGCTTTTGCTAAAGCGCTTTAACCGACTGGGCGCGTGTACGGCAAGCGGTAAACGTCCGTTGTACCACGTGACCACATTTCTTTAGTTGTCATTAATTTAGGGTGCGTTCCTTTGAGATGATCCGGATCAGGATCGGTGATCCGACATCACTCGGATCACAGTAGATCAAATGGGCTGATGAATCCACTATGGAGAAGGATTCATCGGTTCATTTGATCTACGATGATGTACCACTGATCCTGATCCGGATCATCCCTAAGGAACTTACCCTTAGTCTACTGACTACACAAAATTGAGTCTCCTTATGCCAGCTGCGTCCATAGGGTTTATTTAGTACTGTTTCATCTGCTTATTTCCCAACTCGAAACATTATTGACTGCAATCTAAAGTTTGTCGTTTGCTGCAATCTCTCCGTATGCTTAGTAACCAACTGCAACTAGCTTGTAGTCGAGGCTAATACAGAGGACTTTTATTGAGAAGATTTGCATGTGAAAAGATTTCCCGTATTAACTCCGACTGTAAATTAGTCCCCGCGTTCATAACTGAGAATACACATAATGGAAGAAAAGTGTTCAGAACTGAAACTGCTGTTACTGTCGGCGTCATTTGTTTTCAACGAAAAGAATATTATTGTTTTACGAAATGGCAATCTGTACCTGTCCTTGTAAACTGAAAGCTGTTTTACGCTGACTCGAATCCACTACTAGCTCATGTAAATGAATAATGATCACCATAAACCGATGATATATACGGCGTGGAAATACCTGAAACACAACACACAACAAAGACCTGTTTCAAACGTCGTGCTACTGCCGT